ACTTTTATATATATATATATATATATATATATATATATATATGAAGCCGTTTCACAATACTCCATATATGCTCCGTTGTATTTTTGGACAAAATGTCTTTTACCATATATGTGTCCTTGAAGGTGATCAATAGCTTGTCATGCATGTATTTCTAGCTCCTGAACAAGGTCTTCTCCATATATGGGTTTTTCAAGCTTTAAAATAGTTCACTCAGTTTACGACTCACTGCAATCCTTAACACACAGTTGCTTCACACGCAGTCTTCACTTCACTAATAATGGCGACTAATAATAGTAGAATAGTTTCTTCTTACAAATAGGCAAAATTCTATGTATTATATTAATTCAAGATTAATGAAAATATTCTACAATGTAAAATGTTACAGTAGGCTTTATCGGGTTAACAAGTATTATGTAATGCTCATCATGCATATGAAAATGTCAAAGTTGTCATTTATGTTTGAAGGTACATTGACTAATGATTCTTTAAGCATTATATATAGTAGTAATATTTGTTAATGAATGTCAGTATAAAGTGGTTTTATTCGAATTGATGTCTTGGATTTAATGAGAGTTTTAACATTTGTCAGATGAGGTGACGCGTGATTTTGCATATGGAGAGACCGACTCTTTGGTGAGGAGATGCCGTCTGTTAGCATGGCTGCCTGATGACCTTGAGGATGTGAGTGATGACGTCCAAGAACCGTCTGACCTTTACTATGAAGTGAGTGAATTGAATTATCATTAAAATATTGTTTGCTTTGGAAATGTTTGTCAGTGTGGAATCTTATTGGCTGTTGGCATGTATTAAACTGCCTGGGTGCTTTTTGTGGACGACATTTTGATTCAGTAAAATCATTAAGTGCCATTTTCACTCTACATCACTGCACTTTTCCAGACAATTCTGCAGGAGAACAAAGAGAAGCTTCCTATAGACATCCAGCTTTACTGTGTACCAGATGGAAAAGTGCTGAAGTAAGTCATTGTGTTAAATTTCAGTTATTGTTTTATTGTGTTCTTTGCAACTTTAAAGTTTGTTTTATTCTTAAAGTCAACCTGTGAAAAAAAAAAAGTGACGTGACATGTGGCCAAGTATGGTGACTCATACTCGGAATTAGTGCTCTGCATTTACCCATCCAAAGTGCACACACACAGCAGTGAACACACACACACCCGGAGCAGTGGGCAGCCATTTATGCTGCGGCGCCCGGGGAGCAGTTGGGGTTCGGTGCCTTGGTCACCTCAGTCGTGGTATTGAAGGTGGGAGAGAGCGCTGTACATTCACTCCCCCCACCTACAATCCCTGCCGGTACGAGACTCGAACCCACAACCTTTGGGTTATGAGTCCGACTCTCTAACCATTAGGCCACGACTTCCCCCTTTCTTGTTTCCACGTCAAAAGTCCAAGTGTCTAACCTTTTTTATTCACATCTTAATCATTAATTATTCATATTTCAAGTTGTGGTTTGTATAATATTGTTAGTTTGATTTCATTTCCATAAATTCAATATGTTTTCTGTATAAAAGGTTGAAAATGGTAAAAAACAACAACAAAAAACAATCTGTGTGTGTTGAGGACGAAATTGCCCCTAAAAGAGAGCTAAATCTGTCAAAACCTTCCTTTTTCTTTTTCCTTCCTTCCTTAAAAAATATTTTCATTCCTTCCTTCCTTTTTCTTTTTCCTTCCAAACTTCCAAAATGCTAAATCTTTTCTTTTAGGGTTAGTAAGAGTGTGTGTGTGTTTAGAGGTGTAATTGAGGGTCTGGAACATGTCTGTGCATGCAGTAATTTACAGCCCCTAATGAATATCTATAAATCTTGGGTCATAAAGTCAGCAGTTTGTGTTCTCCATCTAGATATAAACATTCCTCCTCCTCCAAAGCTGGCGAGGTTTAAAAAATCTTCAAAGCTGTCAAGTATTTAGATGAAACAGAGATTTAGCACTTATGGATAAGCAAATATCCTGTATGGCACAAAATTTAAAGCACAGAATTTAGATATATGCATGAAATTATCACTTTATCTTCAGTCAACCACAACATTCTCTTTACTGCTCAACACACACTCTTATGTGGTGTGTACCATTTACTCTGTGGTTGCTTTCTCTATCACACTCTGGTTCATGCAACTTATGGTTTAACTCAAGGATACTTGCTGCTTATGTAATATTTGGAGCCTAGAATATCTGGGGTAGAGCCAGCTGTCCTGCACATTTTAGAGGCTATAGAGCAGATGTAAAATGCTTATGCTCATGCATATTCTTGTCAAAGTGTATAGATATCAGCTAGAATAGTACATGGATTTAAATGGTTACACACATTATTTAGAGAACATGTAAACACTCTGATGAATAGAAAGTTCAACAGAACAACATTTATTTGAAATGGAAATCATTGTAATGTTATGTTGAAAAAAAATGAACAGTCAATTTTGACTATGTATTGTGGTATGCTATGTTTGTATGTATGTGCTATTACTCTACTATTATAGTCATGTATTCAACTGTGTGTGCTCAAATATGATGAGCTGCTATTAAGAGAAACATGTGGTGATCTTGTGCTGACGTGATGAACCGAGACCTCTTTGTGTTACGCTGTCATGAGGAGATATAGACTGGGGTCAAATGGTAATAAGCAATAGTGGCCTGAATGATATGTATTGTTTATGGAAACCTATATAAAAAGAGTATTGCAAAGACAGACTGGTCAAATTCTCTGCGGAGTCTCTCGGCTTCATTATCTCTGATAATAAAGTCTGTCTTCTGGTATCAAAACCTCAAGCCTTTGAGAGTGATTTCTCACAGAAGCCACCACATTACTTTTCAAATCATTCCAACTTCTATTTCTTCCATGGTGGGTGATTGAAACAGGTGGAAAGTGCATTAAGCATTTCTTAATCAGTGTGTGTATTCACTTGGTTGCCATTTTCTTGTGTAAACAAATCAGGGTCTACACTGAGATGAAGCAGGTTTTAGACCATCTGAAGCATCCACGTTTCCAGTTCACCGAAAACGAGGAAGAAGCTGACATAATCTGGGCCTTCTCCCATATCCGAGATTATCGGTGAGCATGTTTATGCTTATGTACACTTCAGTTCTATTATTCTTGTTTTACTTAAGTGATTTTGTTCATTCATTTACTGTTAGAAAACTGAGTGAGGAACGGCCTCATGTCCTACTCAACCAGTTCCCATGTGAGACGGTGCTGACCACTAAAGACTGCCTGGCATCTGTGGCACGGAGAGCCAGGGGAGGTCAGGGGGCTCCGTGGCTCCCTAAAACCTTTAATTTACAGACTGAGCTCCCTCAGTTCATCAGACATTACCTACAGAGACAGGAGAGGTGAGCATCTGTGTGATCATAGTGCTGAAAAAAAAATTTAGCGGACTGTGGTTAAAAATTTTCACTATGTTATCTGACTAAAGGTGCTTGGTTAAAACATACTTTACTGGAGAAACTTCTGGGAATCATGGAATCACAGTAAACAAAAATCGCACACACATTTATAATTAAAAATGACATGATTGCACAGACTAGGCAGACTTCTTAATCATAAGATAGATCTAGTTATAGCATACATTTGTTTTGCTTCCTTCTGTGGATGATGTTGGATGTACTTTTGACCTTCCTAAACATGCAAAGTACATTTCAAATTTTCAGATTTCAACATAAGCATGACATATAAAATAGGAATGAACTCTATCCACAGCGTACAGCTTATTTCTGCTAAGATCTCAGTGGTATGCGAGTTTCCAGTGTAATATTCTGCCATTGTAAACTGTGGTAGTTGCATTCTCTTCCTGCCCTATTTCTAATAACTACTAATTATATTATAATATAGTATATTATATACAATATGAACTATAGTAAATGTAACATTTTAGTATATTATATTTAAATAGAACTTTTTAGAAAGGAGTTCCAGAAGCTTTAGGGTGAAGGTGGGATTAATTTTCTTTTGAGTTTTCTCACAATTTCTGTTTTTATTACATTTTTTTTAAAGAAGACATTTCACACTCCATCAAGGAATTTCCATCACTGGATGCAAAGCAAATGAACATTGTACACAAAATACACAAATCAGTCTGAATTATACGGCATTCTGCATAAAAGATGGCTGTAAAGCGAAGTCTGAAATATTAAGCTTTAGTATTATGCCTAATATTATTTGTAGTGTATGATTAAGGTGACAGTACCTCCTCTTTTTCCCAGACGTGTCCTGGCTTGGATTTTTATATTGCCTAAAATGTCTTGCTTTAGCTTTGTTTGCTACAATTTGGCTTTGTTTTCCTATTGTTTTCATACTTTCTGAAGGTAATGACGGAAAAGTAGTTTTACCAAAAGCAGGCAGCCATTATTTGTCACATAATCCAGAAATGTTCAGCATTTTTGCCCTGGTGCTCTCAGTTGCCCCTCGCTCAGAAATACATAGCCATGATAAGAAATGAGCAAAGACACACATTCTGTGTTCAAGCATCTTCAGAGGTTTATTGCTCAGCGAGGTATTTATTAGTATATGCTAAATGGATACATTATCATAGAAAAGTCATGAGCTAGAAGGTTGTAAGGGGATTTACAGTTAAGACCCAAGGACCAGATAGGATGAATGAAGACCAGGAGTCAGAGATGCAGTCAATTGAAGAAAATTTACTGAAGAAAATAGTTTGCAGTTTCATCCGCAGAAGTCAGCTTCAACACTCCTCGGAGTTCGTAGGCTGCTCTGCATACACACTCAATACAGCAGTAATTATACTCTAACAGAGGTCAGTAACTACTTCATTACTTAAGGTAAAAAGGATTCTTTTTGTTTAAATGATAGAAAATCATAGGGTGATGGAAGATATATGCGGATTCCATCCTGGCTGCCGTTACTAATCTCCCTAGAGACCGGTCCTGCACAGACAGATACAAACACGCATACATAGAGAAAACACTTATCTAATTCAAGGTTGAGCAGCTAGGCTCTTACTCTTATCGGGTACTATTCCCAAAACAGACAGATGGGTGCAGTTTCACAGAGAGAGAAGTTTAGGCAATATTAAACTTTTATTGTTTAATGTTTGAAAGAAAGAACAAGTAAAAGCCCAATTATGAGTTGGCCACGTATACTTGCGACACTTCAATTCCCCTGGGAACAAGGCTTGTTAAGAGGGTCCTGTGAAGTACAAATATGTGTTTACCATGGTAAGGATCTTCTGAAACAAGGAGAGGTCAAATTCTAGTAAGGCTTAGAGTACTAATGTGGATTAAAGTTATAACTAATAAGTCAAACATCATTCAATCAATTAAATCTAATTGGTTAAATACTGATTAATAACTTGATTAAATATGTATTGAAGATATATATTGAAAGCATATAAGTGGAAGCGGCCGTAGATCTTATAATCCACCCCTTCAAGGTAAAGAATGTTCAGGGATACAGAGTACCAAGGGATATGTTATGTCTCCAGACATGGATAAGGACCAGGGAGGGGAAGAAGTGGTATGCACAATACACACAGCCAGTACTTTGCTATTTAATTGAGAACTGAAAGCAGGTTTTTATTCTCACAGTACATAATCAATCAGTCATAGTGTGCAAGAAGATGGAATCTACAGAGAACGGTCAAAACAGTGCAAATATCCGTACATATAATGTATGAGGACTGTAAAGAGCACGTCAACGATAACTAAGCCAAAAACTGAACATTTTGGGCAATATATAAATCCTGGCTAGGACATTTCCGGGGAAAAGAGCACGTATGGTCATCCTAGTATAATGTTTGTCAATAGGGTTGTTGATTTAAGACATTAATTTTGTGTGATTAATTATGGGGGAAAAAACACATGAAAAATGTATGCATTTAACGCATCCGCCCCACCCAGACCTCTATGTCTCAATGTAATATCTTACATTGCATGCAGTTGCTGACAAACATGATGCAGGACGACTGACTATGTGATGAGTCCTATTAGAATGCAGTTATATGCCCCTAAAATTCAAGATATGATGGCAAAAATGCCCCTATGGGTTTTTATATTTGTATCATATGATATAGTTTAGCAATATCACATAAGCAAGAGTGCTGTTTTTCCCAAATATTTGCACGATTGCAAATGTGATTTTGATTTTATACAACAGTTCAATAAACAAGTTTTTTTTTGTTACATTTTACACACAATATTGTCTGTTTTGCTCAATTTGCCAATGGAAATAGTTTAAAACAAAGCCACAGCAGAACTTGTGCCTTTCCAAGTGTTGTATTTATATTCCCCCTAAATAACTTAAGTACTCCAACGCACATCTCCACAATCCAAAGATTTGTTCTCACCTTCAGATTGAGAGCGCTGCCCGTTGGTTAGAAATTCGAGGGGGGGTCTGTGCCAAACTCAGTCAGGTCCGGATGCTCTTGAGGCTCGATGGAATTAATGTTCAGGTTCAGATAATGGGTCCAATTATGAGTTGGCCACGTATACTTGCGACACTTCAATTCCCCTGGGAACAAGGCTTGTTAAGAGGGTCCTGTGAAGTACAAATATGTGTTTACCATGGTAAGGATCTTCTGAAACAAGGAGAGGTCAAATTCTAGTAAGGCTTAGAGTACTAATGTGGATTAAAGTTATAACTAATAAGTCAAACATCATTCAATCAATTAAATCTAATTGGTTAAATACTGATTAATAACTTGATTAAATATGTATTGAAGATATATATTGAAAGCATATAAGTGGAAGCGGCCGTAGATCTTATAATCCACCCCTTCAAGGTAAAGAATGTTCAGGGATACAGAGTACCAAGGGATATGTTATGTCTCCAGACATGGATAAGGACCAGGGAGGGGAAGAAGTGGTATGCACAATACACACAGCCAGTACTTTGCTATTTAATTGAGAACTGAAAGCAGGTTTTTATTCTCACAGTACATAATCAATCAGTCATAGTGTGCAAGAAGATGGAATCTACAGAGAACGGTCAAAACAGTGCAAATATCCGTACATATAATGTATGAGGACTGTAAAGAGCACGTCAACGATAACTAAGCCAAAAACTGAACATTTTGGGCAATATATAAATCCTGGCTAGGACATTTCCGGGGAAAAGAGCACGTATGGTCATCCTAGTATAATGTTTGTCAATAGGGCTGTTGATTTAAGACATTAATTTTGTGTGATTAATTATGGGGGAAAAAACACATGAAAAATTTATGCATTTAACGCATCCGCCCCACCCAGACCTCTATGTCTCAATGTAATATCTTACATTGCATGCAGTTGCTGACAAACATGATGCAGGATGACTGACTATGTGATGAGTCCTATTAGAATGCAGTTATATGCCCCTAAAATTCAAGATATGATGGCAAAAATGCCCCTATGGGTTTTTATATTTGTATCATATGATATAGTTTAGCAATATCACATAAGCAAGAGTGCTGTTTTTCCCAAATATTTGCACGATTGCAAATGTGATTTTGATTTTATACAACAGTTCAATAAACAAGTTTTTTTTTGTTACATTTTACACACAATATTGTCTGTTTTGCTCAATTTGCCAATGGAAATAGTTTAAAACAAAGCCACAGCAGAACTTGTGCCTTTCCAAGTGTTGTATTTATATTCCCCCTAAATAACTTAAGTACTCCAACGCACATCTCCACAATCCAAAGATTTGTTCTCACCTTCAGATTGAGAGCGCTGCCCGTTGGTTAGAAATTCGAGGGGGGGTCTGTGCCAAACTCAGTCAGGTCCGGATGCTCTTGAGGCTCGATGGAATTAATGTTCAGGTTCAGATAATGGGTTATGAAGAATAAATCTACTCGGAGACTTGTTTAGATAAGATTACCGCATCACCACATAAAATGGCTTCACTTTAATAAACAAATTCAGAATAAAAAATCAACATAAACGAGAAGTCTTCACCACGAGGTTCGGTCCAGGTCTCTTACAAGCTTCACAATTTATAGTCTGCATGGGTTACAAAGAAATTTCCTTATTTGTACATACAAGTCAAGCTCAACACCCCACTTCCTTTCCAACGTTCTGCCTCAAGTTTTTGTTGCTAAGTAGAAGATGTATACATTTTTGGTTACGTCTGTGATGCAAAAGTCAGATCCACGTCAGACGGGAGGGTTTGAGAAAATTATAAATTTATTCAAAAGTTTTTAGAAATCCAAATAAGCAATAAGGAAAATCATAACTTGAAGTTGAAACATTACATTTTAATAATCATATTCAGTCCAATCGAATTACAAATAAAAGGAGTAAGATAAATTTTATCAAACCAATAAAGGTCTAAGAAGTCTGAAAAGAGTAAACCTTAAACAAAGTCTAGGGGCACCCAAAAAGAAGAAGTAGAAGTCAGAGAGAGAATGATAGAGAGCGCTGAGGAGGGGTGCTGTTTATACACTTGTATACCTTAATAAGATCAGATAAGCAAAGGGGTAAGTTCCTCTTTTGTGCTTATCTGAACACGCCATGTTCCAAGGGCCAGCCATGACCTCACAGATCGTGACTTTAAATATACAAAGCATGCAGAGAATAGGTAGACTTTAATGTTTGAATGCATTCAACCACATGAGCTTCTACATTACGAGCGCAATCCGGTCAAATGCATTTTCAACATTTTCAACTGCCTCTGAAAGAGGTCGAAAGTGGACAACAATGCTATGGCCACATTGTTGCTTTAAAAACATTGTGTTATAAATTGTTGAATCAGATTTTTATTTCTAAGGCTACTGTTTTGTAATGTCTGTTCAATGCTTTTCCATTTAATACAATGACTTTAAATCATCTTGGGGGTTAATTTATTAGCCCAAATTGAATAGTGATTAATGGTGCTATTAATTAATCGGCACATCATGTAATTAATTCGATAAAATGTAATTGCTTGACAGCCTTATTTGTCAATGATAATTTCAGAGGACTGGAAAACCACTGGATTTGCAAACCTTGGAATCTGGCCCGCGGTCTGGACACACACATCATGAACAACCTCAACTACATAATCAGACAGCGAGAGAGCACCCCAAAGGTATACATGCACACACAAGACTGCCACTTCTCCTACTTTCTGTACTGAGTCTGTGCCCACAGAATTACGTGGAAAGTACGGCTTAGAGTTGTCACAAACGTTCGGTCCACAGACCTGGACTTAGATCCATAACCTAGCAACTTTCAAAACTGTTTTATGAAGTCTGCTGAAAATGTGGTGGTTTCTGCCACTTCTGAGAGAAATCATTCTCAAAGTATTGAGGTTTTGATACCAGAAGACTTTATTATCAGAGGCAATGAAGCAGAGAATCTGTCGAGTCTGTGTCTGCACACACTTTATATAGTTTTTCCTCAAGGTGTGTTTAATACATTTCATACACAGTCCTTCTACCCCCTTACAATGAACACATTTTATTCTCCTGCAGTCCTCCATACAAACAGGAAACATATGATCATAATAGTAGAATAACTTGATTACTCTCCTGCAGGCCTCCTTACATACACTGTAAAAAAAATTCCGTAAAATTTACGAAACACGATCATAATTGTAGAATGCAAACATGACTATATTCACATTGATTATACTTGATTAATTCATATTTTGATTAATAAAAATCTTCTACGGTTTCTTCATCAGAACAGATTTGGAAAAGTTTAGCATTTCATCACATGGGTGCCGTCAGAATGAGAGTTCAAACAGCTGATAAAAACATCACAGTAATCCACATGACTACAGTGCAGTCTGTCAATTAACATCTTGTGGAGTGAAAAGTAAAAATCAAATCCATCATTAAGAAATTTTTCACTTAAAATTGTTACTTCCTCTATCCATAATATTGCTTTCTCCAGTGGAAAAAAGCATCTAGTCTGAATCAGGAGAGAAATATGCACAAATCAAAACAGTCCAAAACAGTTCTAAACAAATATGTTGGTGGATTTTGATGCTATTTTTTAAACACTAAAGGAAGGGTTATTATGGATTATGGTATTTTGGCCAGAAGCAAAGATTTAAAGTTAAAATGCTTTAATTATGGATTTGTTTCTTATAAGCACAAGACATTAATTGTTGGAATGGAGTTGTGTGGATTACTTGTGGATTATTGTGATGTTTTTATCAGCTGTTTGGACTAATTCTGACGGCAGCCATTCACTGCAGAGGATTAATTTGTGAACAAGTGATGTAATGCTAAATTTCTCCAAATCTGTTTTGATGAAGAAACAAACTCATCTACATCTTGGATAGCCTGAGGGTGAGTAAATTTAAAGCAAATTTTCATTTCTGGGTGAACTATTCTTTTAAAAAACAGAACAATCCTTTGAACACACTGTACTTCATTCCTGTCAGAAATTAAATCTGCAGCTGCCCTGACTAAAGTCTATTGGCTTGGTCTCAGTCACATTCTTTGCAAAACAGTTAACAGTCCCTTCAGGCAGACTATATCCCCAAGGCACTGAAACAAAACATGGAGATAAAGCACCCCCCTCACACAGACTCGAGGAAGAAAGAAGTACTAACTACTGCACCTTTAATGTAAAATAATTAACACAACACATAACTACATAATTTTGTGCTATGCTATTCCTTTTATAAAATAAGTCATTCATTCCTTTGTCGACTACATTGTGTCCACCTTCTCGTGTTAATTTTTTTTCTCAGTAGTCTTTGTCGTAATTGTTTTTGCTTGTGGTTTTCTCACCTCATCTGTACTTTCTTGTGCTCTTTTAGTAACATTTATATCAAGATGGAAACCTTTATGAGCTTCACTCTTTTATCTATATTTTAAGCAAAGGAAGTCAAATACATAGTAACTTTTAAACCAAGCCAAGAACATCCAAGCATTTCTTCAAGTGAACAGCACTTCTTACAGCATGTTTAAAGTATTTCTTATATAATTTTAAAGCACTTCTTTTGTTTACATCAAAATGGAATTGCTCTTTACAAACCTTATTGTGCAGTGTTACCATGTTTTCCACTTAAAGTATCTTCTTAGATTTAGTATATGCATATTGGAATTTTTTTTGTCTAACATATATTAAACAATTGTAGAAAGTAGTTTGGTTATTATGAAAGCCAGGAGCATATTGAAGGCCTCAGGGCCTGTGACAGTGACTCTGATTTAAGGTGATTTCCAATTGAGAACAGTGAACGGTGTTGGGAATGTTGAAAGTAAAAGATTATTAAACCGCTGTCAGGTCATATGAAATATGGAACCCTTTGGTTCCTGGAAATGGTTAATAAAAGGTTATTTTTAAAAACAGACCAACTAGCGAAACTCTACTATTAGAAAAAAGGCTAAGAAGAGTGATATTTAATTGTGGAAAGCAGGACAGGTGAAAAATGATCATAGGTCACTAAAACTGTCACACATCTAAGTTCATCGCCATTGTGTCTGCACTTTGTTTGTTATAATGAGAGGATTTGTGAGCGAACAGAACTCTGCACTGAACAAAACTCTGGCGTTTTGAGCAGTGAGTGGATTCTGTCTAACTGAAACATCTCTGATTGGTCTTTGCATTCATAAAATCAACAAATATATCTGTGATTGGCTACAATGCTCAATGCTGCAAAACACTTTGTAAATAGAAACAAATGACCAGTGGAGATAATAATGATACACTGCAGTTTTTAAGGAGAAAATGCAACGGTGTTGCCTGATCTTTTTTTTTTTCTTTCAGCATATTAAAAAACACCAGACAGATAAGTAAACAATGCTAAAAACCTGATCTTTAATACTTTTATTCAGCAAGGATTTATCAAAATTACAGTAAAGACATTTATAATGTTACTATTAAGATTAAGATACTACTAAGATTTCTATTACAAATAAATGCTGTTCTTATGAACTTTCTATTTATCAAAGTCTATCTTGGAAAAAAAAGTCACAATTTCCACAGAATTATAAAGCAGCACAACTGTTTTTAACATTGATAATGTTAGATTATTTCTTCATTTCTCTGTGCCATCAGATACTTTTTACTCAGTCCCCTCACACGGCAGTGGAAATAGGAAGGAACACAAAATCTGTCCACAAACTTCTTCAGAGTATCAGCTTTTATATTGTCAAGGGGGGTGGTGTATTGCTTGACCAATAAGGATTATACATTACATCATTGACTTTATATGGTAAAGAACAGATGTGTCCTATAAGCAGATATCCTCGACTGGCTAATTGTTTTCTAGGCTGATTTCCAAGAGCAATACATGCATGTAGAAGTTACGTATAAAAACAGATGTGTTAGGACCACATTCCCGATCTCCAATCGTCTCCTGCTTTCCAGGGTTATTGAGTTCATACAGAGGGAGGGAGAGAGAGAAGTCAGGCTGAGATCAGATCATAATGTTTCTTGAGCACCAAATCAGCATATTAGAATGATTTCTGAAGGATCATGTGACGATGGAGACTGGAGTAATGATTCAGCTTTGAGTCTCTCAAAGCTGAATGAACATGAACAAATTGCATATTAAAATATATTTAAAAAGACAACAGTTTAAATTGTGATGATATTTCACATTATTACTGTGACTGGTGATGTATGTCTGAAGTGTGTTTTTGCTGTATATGTTGTGGAAAAAATCTTTTTCGACGATCTTACACGGTCAGAGACAGAGCCTTTTAAAATTATTATTCTTGCAAGAAGGTCAAACAGTACAGCAGTGAGTCCTGCCGAATGTGTGACCAAGACAAGTGAGCATGCTTCTCTGATTTGGCCCATTGTTTTCACAAGTAGTCTCCCTAATTTTGCCATATATAGTTAAAAAAGCTAGATAAACACTTGATATGTTTCATTTTTCATGTAGCATCCTCCCAGCTTTCTCATGTTATCCTGTTTTCCTCCGCAAGCAAGGACAAGCAGGTCATTGTGACATTTTCTCATAACAGACCTTTCAGGTTAGTATTCATATAACAATACATCAGAAGAAGAAACTTTGCAGTGGAATACACAGTAAACACGAATAAGCTTCTAAATATGAATACTATATGAGAATTTTCCTTCTACAATGCCTGTGCAAAATTGCAAAAGCAATAACATCAGATGACATTAGATATGTTCCTTCACACCCATCAGGACTTAACCTGTTTGTGTCTCTCTCAGGTGGTGAGTAAGTACTTGGAGGACCCTGTGCTGTTTCACAGAGAGGAGGTGGGCATGGTGAAGTTTGACATCCGCTACATGGTGCTGCTGCGCTCTGTGGAACCTCTGCGTCTTTATGCATATGATGTCTTCTGGCTGCGTTTTGCTAACAAGTAAACATTATCTACATCCTGTAGACATACCCGAAAACCCTTTATCCTGATCAAATAATATAAATGGCATGCAATAATATACTTGGTCACAGTTGAAATTATTTAAAAACAGTGGGAATCCAGGTCAGCTGAAGTTAGGGAGATAACAGCAATGAATATCCTGATGCTAAGCATGTTTTGTTATATAAATCAAGTTTATTGCTAACAAGAATTTAGCTTGTGTGAGAATGTGAAAGAATAAAGGTATTGGAATAAAATATATTTTTTAAATGAATTATTCTCCAACACTGAGACCTAACACTAATCATATTAGCAAACTTATGCTTTTACATCGAGCATATAACACCATGTCTGCATACCTAACTGTATTAAGATGCTTGTCCTTCGTTCCAGACCTTTCTCGCTGGATCACTTTGACGACTATCAGAAGCACTACACTGTGATGAACTACGCTGCTGATGTGCAGCTCAAACAGGTACAAAAACTCTGCTCAGACTGTATGCTTGGCTCTGTAGAGTTGATCTCAGATCACTGATGGTTTTGTTTCCGGTCAGATTCACTATGATGAATTTATCCCCATGTTTGAGAGCCAGTATCCGCAGTATCCATGGAAACAGGTTGAGGTATGGCTTTATGCACTTCATTTTCAGTCTGTCCATCTACACTACAGCATACAGTGGTTATGTTGTACAATTTTCCCCTTTTCCAAAACGTATTCAGCTGTGTATAGCATCAGTATTCCTGCACAGATTTCTAAAAGGCTTCTCACCTCAGATATCACATTTTTATTTTTCAGTTTATTTTCACAATAAAACTCAATGTATTTAGCCATTCAGGTTTTTTTGGGGGGGGGGGGGGG